GCGGTGTGAGGGATGTGGGGCTGAACTTTCTTGCCCAGATTTACCATGCTGTTGTGAGCTTTGTTGTCTCGTGTGTCATACGAAAGCGTAGAATGGTGTCCTAGCTCCTTCTTTTCTAGCTGCTGCAGCAAAATACCCTGAAGAAAGAAATGTAGGAAGGTAGGAGTTTATTTTAGCCTGCAGGTGCAGGTTACAGTCTGCCATAGCTGCAGAAGCTGGAGTGAGCTGATCACATCACATTCGCTATCAGAGAGCAAAGAACACATGCAGGCTTTTGCTCAGCTTTCTGACTCCATCTTTATGCAGCTCGAGATTGCCTGTTTAGGGAATGGTGCCACTCACAGTGGGTGGGTATTTCTACTTAGCTAATGTAATCAGGATACTCCACATAGACATGCCCACAGACCAGCCTGATATACACAATAATGCACTGAGATTATTTTTCAGGTGATTCAAGATCTTATCATATCAAATATTAACACTAGCCATTAAATGAGCATATGCCAAGATGTAGATTACAGAAGATCCAAGCAAACTTTCTAAAGTAATGAAAAAGGAATTTATTGGTATTTGTTGATACATGTTCTCCAGAACACTAGAGAGGCACGCAGTTTCACAGGAAGCTTGAGCTAGCAATTCAGTGACATCATCAAGAGCCCGCTTCTCACAGGGCATGGCGGCACACCTTTAATCCCTGCACTCAGGAGGCAGAGGCAAGTGGATCTCTGTGAGTTTGAGGCTAGCCTGGAATACATAGCAAGGTCCAGGCTATCCAGAGAATACAGTGAGACTGTGTCTCAAAAAAGAAAACAAACAAACAAAAATAGTCTACATCTCTTTGCCTTTATTTCCTGTGACATAGGTTGATTTATATGCTAGCTTCCCTTCAGATTACAAAATGGCCAACTGTAGATTGTGTATTTCACATTGTCCCACAGAAAAAATGAAGAACATCGTTGCATTGTTCTGCTCAAAAGCCCTAGCACTGTGGGTATTGAAATTGGTTCCTGTTTTAAGTCTATTCCCAAGCCGGTCCTTGCAGCCGTGGCTATGGGAGGTAATGGTTGGCTTACTCTTCTTGCATGTGCTTCACATGGAACTGGAGTGCAGTCATCTCCCTATCATGTCGTGGGTCTTCAAAGTCCCAACCACTAGGGGTTTGCTGACGTCAGAGGGCTCCAGTTCCAGGTTCTAGGCCAGAGCTCAAAGCTTGTTGCAATCTGCCAGTTGAGTTGATCTCATGCTTTGATGTGGAACAAAATCTTGTTTTAGCTGCTCCAAGAAACATGGCCATCTTTGCACAAGTTCTTGGCTTCATTTCCCCTAAAAAAGGAGAGATTTGGTTTGGATTTTCTGGACTTTTTTGTGGCTGCTTTTACTAGTAGCTTTCATGGCATCTGCTTTCCAATACCTTCTGGTGTTTGTGTGTCATTAAAGCCAGGACTGAGCTCCAGCCTCTCTCAGAAATAAAACTGGCGTGGATTTTAGAGGTTGGCTAAACCTACTGCCAGCTATGGAGGCAGCTACTTCAGTGTTTCCAGGAATCACCTTTTCATCTGCAAAACAGATTCCTGGGATACCTGGCTCACAGGTATCTTTCTGTTCCTGTAACAAAATCTTGAAGGCTGGGTCCTTCCTAAAGAAAAGAGATTTGTTTAGGTTACAGTTTTGAAGGCTAAAATCCCAAATCGGAGAGCCCCTTTGATTCACTTTCTCTGATGAAGCTGCAATGGCAGATGACATCAGTAGTGGGAAAGATCATACACTTAAGACCAGAAGACAGTGTGTGGACAGCAGACAGGCTTGCTCTTTTATAACAAATCTGTCTCTAAAACTAACTAAGGTCCCATGAGAATTACATACATTCCTTCCAAGAGCAACACAAGTGACCTAGTTATTGTGTCCCCCCTTCTCCATCTTAAAGACCCTAAGGCCACCTGATATTTCCATAGCAGACTACAGTTCCAACAAGCAATTACTTGGGGGTGTGTTGGGGCACATTCAAGACATAGCCAAGCCATAGCAAGACTCAAAATAGTTGCATAGAGAATTTCTTAGCTGGAGGCAGCGTCAAGTTGAGCTATCTGCTATCAGAGGCATCTCATTTCCTACCCTGGACACAGTACCCACCCTCGCCTCAATCACGATGCACCCTTACTCTCTTCATTGAAAATAATTTTGTTGTGTTTCCTCCCACTAGAATATAAGGCTCACGAAAGCAGGGCACATATCTATCTTATTGATTGTAGGTTACTACTGTGGGAAATCGAGGGCAGTGTTACTGAGGATGCTGGGAGACAGAAGAGACCTCCAGGATCCCCTACTGAGGGGGAAGGATGCGGGGCATTAATCCACATCCTAACCCCAGTGGTCATAGGGTTAGGACCTTTCATTGCAGACACTGATGATCTATTTGTTCTGCCCTGTCCTGCCCACAGGCAGAATGGGACTCTCATGGCTAGAGCGTATCTGTGCCAGAGACATAGCACTAGAAGTCTTGGCACTTCTAGTTGGTAGCAGTTGAGCGCACTTGCACAGTGATGGTGAGTGCTGAGGGAATGGGAATATGGATGAGGCGGCCACCATGGTTACTACACAGTTGACTGGCAAATGGTGACCATTTCTGGGTGATTCAGGAAGACAAGCTTGGGACAGGGCTAGTGCCCTCGGTGTCACAATATGCTGCCAGCCCAGAACAGCTTTTTATTAATTAAACATCAGATTATTAATCTAAGGAATGTTTTGAATCTTCCCACTCTAGTTTGTGTCTAAACATCCTCAGGATGCTCAGGGATCATGTTAGCTTTTAGTGGGTGGCCTGGTTAACACAGGGATAAAGGTACCAGTCCTTCCTTTAGCCTAGAGTGGAGCTTCAACCTTAGGTGCATAGTGGTGTAACCTGGAGAGCCTTAAAGTAGCTGGATGCTCAGGGCACCATCAGAGATCCTGACCAGATTCTTCTGGGATAATGGCTCTGCATTAGGATCTCAAACAATATCCCCTTTCCTGTTCCATAGGAGATGATGATATAGTATGGAATGCTCACTGAATCCGCATCTAGTGCAAGCATCTTTGAAGCTCAAATTATCCTGCTTCATGCACAGCTTGGTTTGATGGTTCATGATGTCATTTAGGGGCTCAATTTCTTTTATTACTACACCTCTACCTTGCCTTGTATGACTGATGTCTGCTTTATTAGCCCTTTGGTTGGCAGAAAAATTCTTGGAATTCCTAGCTACCAGCACATCCTAGGGCATGGCTCTTCCTTTTCATGCCCAGAAGAGAGTATCCTTGTCCTATTATTCCCCGTGCCAGTTTTGAAATTCTTGTAGTTTAGCCTAACCCAGGTCTCATTCTACCATGACTCAGTTGCTATGGGCATGAGTGGTTCAGGTCATGGGTTCCATTCTAGTGAAGGATATGGACAGTTTCCCATCTTAGCCTTGTATATACACTACTCTCTGGGCACTGTCTAAAGATGCTAATATCCAGGCCTCATCTTCAGAGATTATTCTTTGACATTGGGTGGGGCCTAGGCATCGGTATTTTTCAGAAATTCCCCAGGTGTCTCTGAGGCACAGCTAGGTCAGAGAACCACTGAACATCATTTAGCTTAGTGATGTAACATGGACCACATAAGGGGCCATGACTATAGATGCTCAGTTTGGGTCCAGGAGGATGTGTGACTGGGGATAAGTCACATGTCTAGCCGTCTTATAGGGTCTTATGACTGCACTCAAGACACTCAAATAGAGAAACAAAGCTGTGGACCAAACTGTGAAAGAAGATAGCCAGTGGCCACCAGACTGGTACTGTGCACACATGCACACAGGTGTTGCAGTAGCCTGTCCCCAGCTGCCAGAGTCATCTATCTTCTGTCTGCCAATTCCCTCATCTGATACGTGGCCTTGAAGAATACCCATGTGTCATGGTTTTGTCAGTTTGACACAAACCTAGACATACTTGGGCCAAGGCAACCTCAGTTAAAGAATTATCGCCATTCGATTGGCCTATGGCACGCCCATGGGGGACATTTTCTTGGTTGCTGATTGATGTAGGAAGGCCTAGCCCATTGTGGATGACAGCATCCTTCAACAAGTGGGCCTGGATTGTGTAAGAAAGGCAGCTGAACTGGAGCTTCAGAGGGAGCCAGGAAGCAAGCCAGCAAGCAACATTCCTCCATGGTGTCTGTCTCAATGCCTGCTTTAGCACAAGGTGAAATAACCCCCCTTTCTTCCCGAGTTGCTTTTGGTCATGGCATTTGTCACTGTGACAGAGATTAAACTAGAGCACGGTGTCTCTCTTAACTGACGACATTTGTGGGAAATGCTCTCAGTTTCTCAGATCAAGGGGATTCCTCTCACAGAGTAGGAGTGCTGTATGAGGAATGTTCCCCTTACCATCAAAGCTTCAGGGTTCTCAAAAGTAAAACCAAGAGCCTACCTTCTGCAATGTTCTTCCACGGGCACGAAATAAGAGAATGCCTATAAAACTTGTAAGGCAGCCTTTGACAGATAATAGTGCTTCCTTAAATCTTTTCAAGAATGTTGTTAGAAAAATTTTAATAAGCTATTACTGGAAAAAATAATATACGTTATGCTGAACCCAAGTAATCATTTTATGGTTATGAGACGAAACTCCTTGCTCAATCTTTGGACTCCACCTCCTCAGCAGAGGCCTGGTCCTTCTTTTCAGCTCTGTAACCCCAACTGTCATACATGGGGCGCTGGGCTTTCCATCTTGGAGTCTTGGGAGGGGCAATCTTGTTAGAAAGGGGATGCTGTGAAAGGCTTTGCCTTGGAGTTGCAGTTACATATGGTCACAGTATCTGCATTTGAACTGGATGCTACTGAGGGTGGGCTAAGGGTTAGGACACTGTGGCCCCAAGAAAGTACTAGTAACCCCATGGTTATTAGTAATCCAAATGGATGGACTAACTATCCCTTGTCATAACTTACCTCTCCTGAGCAACGGAGTCATGGAAGAAATGATTGAGAGTGTACGAAATAGTTCTGTTTATTGATTAGAACAGGGTATAAAAGTACAGCATTTCACAGGCATTCTGGACGTTCTGGGAGGGACATGCAGTGTGGGCTTGAGCAGGGGATGAATGGAGAGAAGGGCCAGACCACTGGGCAATGGTTCCCCTCCCGGGCGTGTTAAGAGACTTGCTTTATGAGCATGGATGCTAGTGTGGGAGAATTATTACTCTCCACCTCTGGAAACAAAAGACATGAGCAGTTTGGGTCATCTGATGACACCATGCTTGATAATTCTGTCCTATTCTACATGTGTTAGGTGCTGCCTTCTCCCAATCTTGTCACAATAAACTCTAATTGTTCTGCATAACACTCTTTCTTCCCACCAGAGGAAGAGAAACAGGCACGTTGGCTTGGGAAGCCACCAGAGGATGGTGGACATTTGGCTCAGGTCCTCTGGATTCCAGATTCCTCTGGGTCTGCCTGACTTGGAGGCAGTGAGTCGGGGACATGTAAGCATAAAATTGTGCACTACTGTTTAAGCTCGAGCAGAGGGGCCTTCCACAGGGCAGCAGCATGAAGAGATGGGCATGCTTCTGAAACAAACTCAGGTTTCATCTCGTCTCTCTCAAGAGGAGGAAGGAGAACGAGTTGGCAATCAGAGACTGAGCCACGCGGTTCCAGGTTTTGTAGAAAGTCTTCAGCAGAGAATTCTTCCAAAGTGTAAAAGGTCCCAAGAGTTGGTGTGTAAAATCAGAACAAGGGCAGATCAGGGCGTTGAGGTGTTTGTTCAGTGTCTCTGAGAGCAGGATCGTGAGTGTCCTTTGTTACATAACGTTTTGGAACAGCTGTAGAGACCTCATGATGTTGTCATCCTGGGAAGAGAGTGGCGGGAGAGAAGACGGTTAGACCTGTCCGAGGCTCTAGCCTGAGTGTGCAATACTCAAGAAAATCTCAAGAGTGGGGGTCCCATACTAAGGGAAATCTGCAGCAGCGTTCGTTACATGCAGGGAACAAGAGGCGAAGATCTAGCTTAGCGCTTTGACATTCAGGAGAGAAAAATGACCCAATGGAACAGTGCGTTGTTTTTCTTTAAGATGCTCTGTCAATGTGTTGTATCAAATGATTTTCCATATCCGTGGAGTAGATCACAATTTTTCCTGTTTATTCTATTATTGTAGTTAATTATGCTGACTATAACCTTGCAACATCCCATCTTAGGGTTGTGATAGCCTCATCAATCAAGCTGAGAAGGTCCTCTTTTATTCTCTATTCCTTGAGATTAATATCATTTCTTCCTTAAATGTTTGCAAGAATGCACCAATATAAACTATTTAAGCCTGTCATTTTCTTTAGGGTAAAGTTTTAAATTACAAATTCAATGTCTTTAAGACATAGGGCTATTTACATTTTTGTTTTCTTTTTGTATTAGTTTTGATAAGATATGCTTTGTAAGGAATTCATACATCTTATACAAATTGTCAAATTTACTGAAGAAGTTTTTTTTAAATATCAGAAAACTGGAAGTAGATGTTATTATTTTTATTTCTGATCTTAACAATTTGAGGATTTAAACATATTTCTCTTTTTACTTAGCCTTCGTAAGCAATTATCAGGGTTATTTTGTTTGTTTGTTTTGTTTTTTGGAGACAGGGTTTCTCTGTGTAACAGCGCTGGCTGTCCTGGAACTCACTCTGTAGACCAGGCTGGCCTCGAACTCACAGAGCTCTACCTGCCCCTGTCTCCCGAGTGCTGGGATTAAAGGTGGGATTAAATATTGAAAGTGTAAAGTTCTTAAATCTTTGCATATTAAATACCACATTTCTACATTTTGATCTAAAATACAGTGAAAATATGAAATATTAAACTTTGTGAGATGTAAAGCAATGCTTAGCTAAAGTAGCAGTCAAGGAAATTGACCCTGTGTGTGCGTGTGTGCATCCCACTGAGTTTAAAGTTAGAGAAAAATCAAGAGAGACAAAGTTGATTGTGAGAATACTAATATTTGTAAGTTGCTATGGGTTCTGGAGTTAGGCAGTTTGTTTTCAAGCCTGGAACCTTTCACTTCCTACCCATGGTACTTAACCTGTCTGGGTCTTAGTTTCCCTGGGTATACAGTATGGTTGAATATAATATCCACCTATGGCAAGGTGGTGGAAAAAATGAGTTACGTAAATAATCACCGTGGATGGTTCTTGTGTGAGGAACAAGCTCCAAAAACCACTCTCATCTGAAAGTCAGGAAAGAGCACTTCCGTCAGGCATGGTGTGTGACATTAGCACAACAGAGTTTAAACCCCATCTCTGTCACTCACTGTAGCGTTAGCCATATTCTTAACATTGTAGTGCCCCGTCTTCTCTTCTTGAAATGGGTATGACAGACACATCTGCTTAGCCTGCCCATATGAAGAAATACTGAAACATTTCTAACTCCGCAGGTGCTGCTGCTGACCCGATTCTACTCTCTACCTCAGTGTGCTTCCTTCTGGGTTCCTAGTGAGTCCCTTGGGATCCCCAGACAACTAATGGATGAACAACAAGCTCAACAAGGACACTCTAGGACAATGGTAAGGGTCAGTAAAAAGAGATCAGTGTTGAGCCAGGCGGTGGTGGCCCAGGCCTTTAATTCCAGCACTCGGGAGGCAGAGGCAGAGGCAGAGGTAGAGGAAGAGGCAGACAGATCTCTGTGAGTTTGAGGCCAGCCTGGTCTACAGAGAGAGTTCCAGGACAGCCAGAACTATTACACTGAGAAACCCTGTCTCAAAAAAAAAAAAAGGCAAAACCAAACCAAACAAACAAAGTAGTCCGTGATCAGCCTGTCCTAATTGTTAGTAGTCTGGAATGCTGTCAAATGGAGCTTCTGCCAGGAGGGTTTTCATGTGACTGAAGCTTGGTTGGTGCTCTATGCGTTAGGGGAGCTTAGGCTGTGCTTTTGTGGAATGAGGTGGACTATAAACCTTTTAAGGAGACAAAGCAACTATTTCCAGCTCAGTGCCCGGCCATACCAATTTATTCATGAGACTTAACCAAAGCACGGTCCAGGGAACAGCAGTGCAGTGAGTGTCTCCTTAGCGGTGTGCACAAGGCAAGCCTGGGCTCCGACCTGTGCAGCCCCCACCTGCACAAGGAGTCTGGTTTTGCATGAGCAAGTCCTAGCAGCCTTGGTACTGAGTATTTGCATCATGATGGCAATTTCTAGAGTGTCTGGAATTGTAGTTTGCAGACACACTTTTGGAAGAACCTTAGGCAGTCCTATACCACTGGATTGAGAATTGTGTTGAAGGTCTTCCAGCTGTTCCTCTGCATCCGAGGAACAGACACAGAGGCAGCGAGAAGGACAGGCTCACCTATTTGGCAAATCTCATTCTATGAAGGCTTTCTGGCCTTCGCATCTCCTAGACCTGTGCTTCTTCTGCTCAGTCCTGTGCTGAGCAGGCCAGGCTGGGGCGTGGAGCTGCTGCACTGGGCTTCTGAGTCTGGGGTTGCAGGTGTGTGAAGATTTCAGGTCCTTTCCCTACAGTCTCCATGCTCCAGATCTCAAAGCCCAGAGCAATTGTGTCCCGAGATCCATCCTTACCTCCTGACAGGATTCAAGAAATTCATCTAAAGTTACGATGCCATCTTTATTTTTATCCATTTTCTGAAAGACACAACAGAGAGGTCTCTAAAGAACCTGGAATTTCACATTTCAGAATTTTCTCTGTGTTAAGCCCAGAGTTACAATGGTCTTTTGCTAGTTAGTTCGTTCCTCGTTACAGTATGATGGTCCTCGTGAGCTTCCTTACTTCAAAAGATTGGTCCCAACACTAACCTTATTGCTACATTATTGTTCTGGAGGCATCCCAACATGGAGTAGTCTGTTTCTGTTACTACAGCAAAAGGCTGAGGCTGGGTGTTGTAGAAAGAAAGGAGGCCTCTTCTTATTGTTCTAGAGGTTTAAGAGCTCATCACCAGTTTCTGTCTGGCAAAAGCCTCATGAAGGATGGCATCATTTTAGTGGGCACAGGTGAAAGAAGTCACACAGCCAAACAGGAAGCCAGAGAATGAGGACGGACCAGCCTTGCTTATTCAGTTCTGGCTCATAGCATCTGCAGCACTCGCATCTCTGAGGCAGTGTCTTGAGGACCCAGTCACCTCCCATCAGCCCCATTCATTAAGGATTCCATGACCTTAAACACTGCCATGCTGACGACCAGGCTCCCATGAATCTTGGAGTACACTAAGTCCATTTCCAACCACAGAACCTGTTCCACATACTTTCTCCTGGCTTCTCTATCTGGCAGAAAGAATGCTGGGCACAGAAGGTTCTGGTCTATCTCTGTGCGGATTTTCTGTGTAATTTTTCAAGATATCAGAAAGATCTCTTTTCTTAGCTGCAAAGTGGGAGGCTTGGATTAGAGTGAGCTGGCATTTTTTTAAAAAATACTTTATATTGTTAGATTTTTTTTTTAACTTAAGGACACCACTTCTCCACTGAATCATGAGCAGTGTCCACCTATCCTTAACTAAATGCTCCAGTTGGGGATCTTGCAGTCTGGCTTTACTGGTTTAATGGTTTTTAATAGATTCCATTTATTCCCCCTTTGCAGCCCAGACAAACGTGCTCAGGAAGTAAGGAGATGCGAGGAACGAACTCTTCTCTATTCAAGGAGAGAATCTGAGAGTTTTTATAGACTGTAGCATTTATAGTTAATGACATCATACCCTCTGTCCTCTTCTGTAACACATACTGGTCTGCCTCACAAAGAACATCTCCTATCCATCAGTATAAGCCTGTGCGCAGGTGCGTACGTACCTGGAAGAAGACATCCACATGCTGCCTGGGAGTATCCTCTTTGAGCACAGGATAGGTGTATTTCCCCATCATGTCGTAGATGGCTTTGACTATGTCCATCATCTCCTGGAAGGGGACATGGAGGCACACACTGTTGGGACCATGAGGTCAAACCTTCTTAGGGGGGCAGAATTTAGGAATTTTTAGGGTTCCTTTTTGCCAACCGGAGTGATTAAGAGAGCTGTTTTAGGGAGATGAATGGGAGCTAGAGGACAAGATGAAACCCCCTCCTCAGAGAAAGTGGGGGACTCCGCCCTGCCTTCAGATGCCTTGGTGGTTACCTCTTCTTGCTTTGTCCTCGGGGGAGGGACAGCATTGAATTCCCCATTCACAGACTGAGACAATGGAGTGTTATTCTGGCTTAAAGACAACTTAGGCTCGCCTTTTAAACACCCTCATGGGTTCTGTTGCTATTTAAATTAAGAAAAAAGTAGCTAACAGAAGGCTTATCAACAGGACACTGGAGGGTTTCTCTAAACCTGTAATTGATAACTTTAAACTTACAGAAAAGTTGCAAAACTAATGTGGAGGACTCACGTATACCTCTTACCCAGTCTTCCTTAATATTAAAACTTGTGAAACTGTAGAAAAGTAATTGAAACCAGGAAATTAGCATGGCTACAATATTACTAGCTAAACCATTGGGTTTATCCATATCTCATCCTTTTGCCACTGACACTTTTCTACTTGAGATTGCACTTTGTGTGGAGTTGTGTGTTCTTCATGTTTTCAGGACCCTGACAAGCATGATGGGCATGTTGCTCAGTTGTTTTGTAGACGGTCCCTTAGCTTGGGCAAGGCTCTGTAGAAGTGATGGATGCTCTGTTCTGTCAGTGCACCATCAGGGAAGTATGCAGTGTAGCAGTGTCTGGTGATTGGTGATTATTTGATTAAGGGATTGTCTGTCAACTCTCTGAGTTGTCAATACACTTTGAAAAGCAAAAGTGATCACTATGGCATTTGTTTGATGACAATTCTATATTATTACCTTTAAAAAGTTAATGGTTTAGATAAGGGATTTAAAAATCCTCTATGATTCTGTTGCTGTTTTAAATTAGGACAAGGGAGCCAACAGCCAGCATCCACAGGACACTTGAGGCTTTTTAAAAGTAGGTTATTAATAACTGTAGATGTACTGAAATACTTCTGTAAGCAAGAAATGCCTATTTTCTTTTATGTATTTAGTTCTTTGAACTTGTGGCCATCTATTATGTTTTGTTGGTGACAATCCAATATTGTCATGTTTTATTTTGTTGATTAATTTGCCCTAGTCTTGGCTTATTAAAACGCCTCTAGGCTGATGTCTGTAGCTGTTTGATCTACCCCAGCCAGGATTCAGGTTCAGTTTCTATTTCTTCTTTCCCAGGTCCAAGACAAATAGCTCTCTAACGAGACTGGATCCTTTTGTTAAAAAAAAAAAAATGGATAAAGGTGTTTAGAAAGAATTATCAGTGGTCTTTTCTCCAGGACTGCCCCAGCATATTGAACTAGGAAATGGATTTGTATCCACATATCCGTTTCAAGAGATGCACCTTACTGGCCTTTTATACCCTTGTGGTCATTGAGCTCTTTCCTGCTTGAGAACTTTTGGACAGAAAGACCAATTTTGGTTGTTTGGGATTCTCATTGCCTGCAAACGTGGTAAGAATGTTCCAGAATGCTTGCTAGGATGACGTCTCAGGAATCTACTTAATCACACTTATGTCCACCCCACCCTTAATTCTGACATCTAGAGATGTCTGATAAACATTAACAGTGATAATTCTGACTACTTTGTTCATTAAAAAAATGGAATAGTTAGTAGGTTTGTTCAACGATGTGATGGGAAAATGAATTGACCCAAGGTTGAAGGTCAGATGGCATAAAAACCCATCTGAGGTTTCTTTCTTTAGGTGTTGTGTAAAGTACTATTTGAATATCTTAATTTAGAGTATCATGCATGTAAGTATGTATGTAAGAACTTAGATGTTTATAAAATCGATATAGTACTATATTAGTACTTTATTTTTTTAAACATGAAATTACATACAATTGTTAATCTTCTGTGATTTTAAATGGTCACCTGCTGTATAGTGAGTGCTTGAAATTTGGGCCTGGAAAGATGGTTCGGCGGTAGAGAGTGTGTACTGCTCTAACAGAGGACCCGAGTTCTGTTACCAGCACCCGTGTTATGTGGCTCACAATTGCTTGTGACTCTAGCTCCTGGGGATCTGACAGCCACTTCTGGCCTCCGAGGGTACTGTATAAACCCACCCCTCCATACATTTTACATGATTAAACATAAAAAAATTTGCACATATGTTACAGTTGTATAGCTTGGTCTCCTTGTGGGACTCCTAAGAGCGGGAACAGGGACTGTTTCTGACTCTGGTACCTGCTTTTAGGACCATTTCCTCCTACTAGACTGAGTCATCCAGCCTTAATAGGAGAGGAGGTGCCCAGTCTTACTGCAACTTGCTATGCTATAGCTGGCTGATATACAGGGGAATGCCTGCCCTTTTCCGAAGAGGAAAGAAGAAAAGTGGATGGATGTGGAGAGAGGGAAGACTGGGGGGGAGGGACTAGGATAGGAGGGCGGGGAAACTGTGATTGGGCTGGGAAAAAATTAATTAATAAAAAAGGAAAATTTGAGAGTCTAGAGCCTTTGTAATGTGATAGAAATTCCATTGTTTTCTTCATGATCTTTGTCGCACACATTGACTAGTTCTCTTTTTATTGATTTTTTTATTGAGCTCTACATTTTTCTCTGCTCCCCTCCCTGCCTCTCCCCCATTGACTAGTTCTTACTGAATTAGCACAAACTATTTGCTCACCTACTTCATTCACTGTATTTATTTTTCATTTAATTGTCAGAGCTCTTTATATACTTTGTGGGATGTATACATTTATTTATAGGGAATTTTAAAGTATGCACCATGTGCTAGACATGATGCCAAGGAGATGCAAGGGAAGCAGATGTGAGACCTTCCTTAGCTAGTGCCTGGTAAGAAGCACCACCACTTCCTACAAGTTGCAGATGTTTTAATAGCTGTGCCACCTGCTTTCCAATGTTGCTGATGGCAATTTTTGAGGTTAAGAATATGAAAATATTCAGAATGACATCATTAATACTTTTCTTTGTGTTTTAATTTTATGCTTTCCCATTCAGATTCAGTTAGGTGTGACACTTATTTCTCTTTTGAGGAGAGACTAAGTGTTTGCCTCATTTTACAGCTTGCGGTTCTCCATGAAGTGGAGCCAGGGCAGGAACTCAAGGCAGGAGCCTGGGGGCAGGAACTGAAGCAGAGGACATGGAGGAGCGCTGTTCACCGCCTCACTCGCTGTATTCCTGGTTCTTTTGTAGCTAGAGATCACCTGTGTATCTATGACTGACTTACATGTGTGACATCTAGAATATTCATTCACTCACCGAGGAAACACCATAGCTAGCCAGTTTTCCTGGGTCATCTATTTCATTATCCACATCTGTTAATTCTGGTCCTTGGGCTCTTTCTGTTAGGAATGGAGTGACTATTGGCTCCCAGCTTCCTCCTGTTTCCCCAGTCTACCGGTCCCCCCTCATCTTCTCACATACCATACCATAATATGTCATAGTCCTGTTTCCACTTTTTGAAAATGATCATTTCTGTCTTCAGCTGGTGACTTTTCTAATGTGTTAGTTTTCTCCCCAAACAATGATTTTATGTTGGTTAGAAACAAATAAATTTTAAATTAAAGACAAATAGCTATTTTTACAATATCATCATCTTCATAATAGTCTTCCCTTCAGAAAATGACAGGTGTTTCCTATAGACCCCCCCCCCCCCCCAGTTTTCAGAAAACTTTTTCTTCATCTAAATTATGGATATTTTTAAATGCTTATGCACATTACATTTTACTGCTGCACGATTAGAATATCTTAGTTGAACTTTCTAAATAGTTATGAGACATGGGCCACCCGCTTGATTTCTGCATAGATGTTGATTGCAGGACATGGTCTTAGTTCACATTGTTTAAGTTGTTTTTCTTGTCTCTTTCCTTCCTAAGGATGAAATCATGTCATGGTTGAACAGGGAGGCACATGCTTGTAATCCCAGTCCTAAGGAGGATCACCATGCATGCATTCAAGGCATGCATTCACTGGCCTACACGGTGTGTTTCAGTCAGCTGGAGCTACAATGAGAGACCTTGTTGCAGGCAAATACATAAATAGAGAAGAGAATCATGGCATTTGCAAAGGCTGCCCTAGCTTTCCAGGTGTGTGCTTCTGTCCCATTGTTTTTAAAGAGCTTTTAGCAGTACGAACAGATGATGTGGGTCAATAGCAAACACTCAAGTCTTCATCTCAGCTGCAGCCGAGCTTGTCTGTGACGTCACCACGCAGGGGAAAGCTGTGCAGAAGGCTGGAGCACATTCTACTAAGCTCACGATGTATTTTAGTCCCGTTTTATTAGGAGTTTAAAAACTGATCAAGGACATACGGCAAACTTGATGGAAGATGATTTTAGAATTACATGGTTTGGTCTTTTGATGGGCTGAATTATTTAATAGGTATTCTCTAATGTTGAATTGCTTCTGCAGTAAACCTGCTCCTTCCCATGCATGCTCCTTTAACTAGAGTGCTAGGATTAATTTCCCGGCACTTTATTTAGAATTTGTGATGTGTATTTTAAGTGAGATGGGATTCTTGTTTTCTTTTATATGCTTTGCCAAAGCTCTTAATTTTTTTTTCATTCAACGCGTTTGGAGCACTTCCTATTGTCCAGGCGCTCCTATCTTCAAACGAGATCTCCCTTTAAGAATGCTTACAGCAGACTCACTCATCTTAAGTGTCCTGCTCGATAAACTATGGCAAATGTACACAGCTGTGCCACCTCCACACACAGCACCTGCATTAGTTTTTTATCTCCTCAAGAAGCTTCGACACCGTCTGCCAAGCCCTGGCATCAAGCCATGGCCAATGAAACTTTGGTCATTAAAGGTATTTTCACTTAATAGAATTTGAGGCAAATGTAAGTCTGTAATACTGTAAGTCTGAGCCTGTCTGTGTTAAACGCACATAAAGGGTACAGAAACCATGCCCACTGTTGCATGTGACAGTGGTCTATTTCTTCTGACTGTTGAGTACCCACTGGATGGGTAGCAACAATATACTTATCTGCCATCCTGGTGAAAGACATTTGGGTTGTGTGCAATGTGGGGGCTATTGTGGATAAAGGTAGCATGCAAATCTCCGTGTAGGTATTTATGGAATTACACCTTTTTATTTTTCTTAGGTAAATATGTAGGGGTGGAATTCCTGGCAATATTCAATAGTAAGCAGATGTTAGCTTTAGGATTTCAGTTTTTCTTTTTTTATTGTGTAAATATAGTTCTGGGACAGCCAGGGCTACAAACCCTGTCTCGAAAAATAAAAAAAGTTGGGAAGTTCCTTCTGCCTCAGTTTTGTAGGGTTTCTCTTAGTAGTCACCAGAAAGATATCTGAGGAGCTTAAACTTTTCCTGAGTTTTTCGAATTTTATTTCTCTTAGTGACAGGAAACTATTCAAATTTTCCTGCTGACTTTGAACTACCTTTAGCACTTGTGTGTCTCAAAAGCTCTGCTGTGCACCAGCAGCCCCCAGTAGGTGGAGTGGGCTGTCTACCCCAATCTTCCAGTGTCTGAGTCCAACAACCTTCAGGCTTCATTATGAGCCTGTCGGGCTTTTCTTCATACCCCAGCTTGCAGCCAACAGCAAGCTCTTCTGTTTGGAGGGCACATGGAACTCCACTTTCCTCCAGAACCCCTCTAGTGGCTCTGACTTTTGCCTGGGACACTTTCCCAGGCTTTTGTGGGTGATTGGCCCTGGCCTGGCAATGCACCTTAGAGAGGCCCTTGCTACTCCTACCTGCCCTACATTTCGCTGCTTTTGTTCCTCCCGCTGCACGACTCCAGGACAGTCAGGCCTGACCTGATTTCTCACTGTTTGGTCTCCAGCACCCAGAACTGAATGAGTTCTTAGATCTGTGTTGGACCCCCATGGCCGAGTGAACAGGGAACTCGACTGTGTATATACTCTGAGAGGAGAACCTTGCAGAGCTGAGATCAAGCTTAGAGACGATCTCCACAGCTCTATGCATTAGGCCTGAGATATAGGAGCTCAGCAAAAAGTCCCAGATGTCAACGTTAAGCCCCAAAGGCACATCAGTTTACAGGAGACATACAGGTGACTTGAATGGCAGACCGTGAGCGGCTCACTGGCTAAACACATGTACTGAGACTCTAAGAGCCAAGCGGTGAAGATTCTGAAATTCTCTGGGATTTTTCTTTTATTAATTTTTTTTGAGACAGCTGCCTACCCTTCCCTGGTCTTCTGCTTCTATGGTTTTATTAGACGGAATGGGCTGGGTTGTAGGTAATGAGATCTGATGGTTGTCACCTATGCCTTAAAGAACTCTCTTCTCTGTTCTATTCTGGGTACTCACCTCTTTGTTTATGTAGCCGTCTTTATTGATGTCATACAAATTAAATGTCCACCTTAGCTTTTCATGGACTGTCCCTCTCAGTAAAATAGACAGAGCCGTCACGAAGTCCTAAGAAATGGAAAGGCGAGAGCAAAAGTTTATCCCTGAGCCACCGCGTGGCTGGAGAGAAGCTTTACCTCCAGGTTAGACTACGGTGCTTTTATGAAATGGTGCCTCCCACACCCTCCTGTCGGCTAGGTGGAAATGGGCGATGCCAGCAAAGAACGTCTGTCATCCGTTCCCCATACTGCAGTTTCTGATGCCCCTTTTGTATGTGTGGACACCCTAAGGCCGTTAATTCTGCTTTCCCCGTTGGTCCATGGCTGCAATGGTTGTGTTCCAGTGGCTTTGAGCCAGGCTGAAGAAACATACTGCCTGTGTTCAAAACCCCTACACCCCCTTGGCCACTTACTCTCTCTTTGACCTTGGAAAAGCTACTTGGCCTCTGCCTTATTTTCTTCTTCTGTACAATGATAATATAACTCCCACTTTGTAGTGCTATTATAAAAGTTAAACAAGTTAATAAATGCCAAATGCTAGCTCCAGAGGCTACCACCCAGCCTGCGGAGTGCAAGAGAGCTTTTAAGTTGTCTCCATAACCCACTCCCAGTGTCTAGAGGGCAGGGGAAGTCTCCTCTCTGTCCTCAGGCCATGTTTGCTAAATGAGTAAAGTTTTAACTGAATAATTAACTATTTCCTCAATCCCCAAATTTGGAGCAAGAGGCAATGAACAACCAAGAGACACCCAGACTGTACCTCGAACTTCACAGAGCCTGTCTGGGTGGTGTCGAAGGCATTGAAGAGGTAATGGGCATATGTGCTGGCATCTGTAAAGCAGAGGGAAAAGCAAGTGAGTGGGGGGGGGATGGGGCTAGTTTCCACAGAGGGAAGAGACAGCACTGGAAAACTGGCAGGGATGGGACCAGAGCGAAGGTAAGGAGGATGGATCGAGAGCCATTTGCTCAGCCCCTGGAGTTTAGGCTAGAAGTTCTAGCAAAAGGTTAGGCAGGTCCTTGGCTCTCTCTACCTCATCATCTTGAGAATGGTTCCCTTCCTGTTTCTCTGTGTGACCTGTTTCTCTGGGCTTTCCCTTGTGAGCAGAGACCTGAGCTCGGATCCAGGCTGTTTCCATATGGCCGTGTCTGTAGACATCTAACGAGACATCTCTGAACATCCATTCCACATCTCTGCAGAGGGGGATAGGGCAAGACCTGACTCTTGCAACACGTGAAGAGATGCTTTCACCTGGAGCCTCCCTGCCACACAGTGAAAACGGCGTCTCCATGGCATTCAAAACCTGGGAGTCTGGTGCTACCGTGACATGAAGCTCCTTCTCCCCAACACAGAGACCCACACCAGGGGGACACCTGTGTGAGGGCCCAAGAAGGATGTGGGACACTTGAGTATCTTGTTAGAACCCAGAAAAGGTGTTCTGCAGCTGTCCAGGTGACACCTGTGGGCAGGTGGCACAGGAAGGTCACAAGAGGAAGGGTCCCTGATGTGTGAACTTTTCCAAACTGGGCAGGTGGTCGGGGGTTCAGTGTCCTCGGTAACTTGGCTTTGTAAGTGAGCGCAATGTCACACTGTCCACAACTGATTTTGGTTCATTGAATTTTTTTTTATCGTCTGTAGTATTTACTAATGTTGTTTACAAAATATCAAGCTGTCTTAGCAAGATGACGAAGATTTTGTCTCATATACGTTCTGTTCCTGGTCTGCCACATATAAGCTGTGTGATCTTGAGTAAATTGCTTAAAGTCTCTGAAACTCAAATTGTTCCTTCTGGGGTCATGACACCTCTTTCTAGACATGATTCTTCTTGATACTGCACTACCAGCTCTTCTTGTGGAGTGAGTTCATTTCCCCTCAGAGAATTCTGTATTTTTGTAGTAAGGGAAAAATCTCGCCATAAGTTCTCCTCAGACCCCGAAGAAGATGGAGACAAAGAATGGGGGTAGTGAGAGGAAGGGAAGGCTGATCATTGGGGAGGATTCTGGGAGGTTATTTCCCAAGGATCTACTCACCTCCATGAGGGAAAAACTGCGCGTAGATCTGCTTGAATGTTTCTTCATTGACCACGCCACTGGGGCACTCCTGTATGGAGCAGAGAGCGAGTGAGTGGGAAGGGTCTGGGAGTCTGTCCTGGGGGGTGGAGCCTGCACAGGTTCCCCCTATCCTCTCATGGGCAGAGCCTGGGCAAAGAGCTATGTACTACTGGGTGTCTCCGGGGGGTGGGGACCTGGGAGGTAATCCCACCTTAAAAAGCTACTCTGTAAGAGAGGGGACGTCATCACAGCATAGGTGCTGTTCTGGGAGAGTCTTGGCTTTAGAGTCCTAAAGGTCTAGGTTTGGATCCTGGTTAAGCCTGTTCTAAGTTTTTGTGACTCTGTCCAAGGAAGCCTACAATCTCAAACACACTTACTCACGGACTTCTGTGTCTGTCAGCTTTCTTTCTCCCATGCTCCTTTGCTAAGAACCTGGCTGTCTGTGTGACTCACAGAAAAAGAAGCTTCCAGCAGTTGGAGAAGAAAATCTGGTCCCACTGGACCAACTTTCAGAGACATGAACCCAGCGACACTCAGGCTGCTATACCACTCTTCGTGGGCCTCGCTGGCACAAATCAGTAGAGCTCAGTCCCTTCACTGTTGGGACACCCGACAGAGGGTAAATTGTGAGTGTCAAGCTAAGGTCAGCACCTGGGCGGGGAGGGCTTCTCTGAGGTCACCCAACCCTGTGGCACCTCTGTGTAGGGGGTGAGGTTCCTGTCTGCTGAGACCTTGTTCTCCTGCAAGTTTTCTTTCTTCCCAGGTGCGGGTTCATAGTGGTGGCCTCCTTGAACCTCTGCACACAAGGGACTCCATCGGCACCAAAAGAGCTTTGTTCTGTGGGAAATCACACCAGGCCTCAGAGCCTCTGGGGGGGTCTTACATTTTTGAATCCTCGGTAAAGGACTTGCAGCTCCCTCTTGGTGAAGTTCGTCTGGGCCTCAAGCTGCTCCAGTCCCTCAGGCCGGTGGCAAACCATGGTCATCTCTAGTTCATCCTCGATCTTGTCTGGAAGCAGAGGGGGTGGCATCAGAGCAGGGCCTCCTTGGTCTCTGTCACACCATGGTCTGAGCTGATGCTGGGAACTGAGACTTGGGGTTGGGCCGGGTCACACTGCAGGGGTTCCTGGGCCTTGAACCCCACTCCCCAGCCATTCACTGTTTCACAGTCTGTGCACTGAGGTACTGTAGGTGTGACAGGCACCAAGGGGAGGGAGCATCAGAATCTCAGATTGGGAGAGGAGGGTAGAAGTGTGCAAACACATTCACACAAAAGCTTCTTTTTCAAGCTGCCTTCTTTGCATATTAACCCTGTTTTCTGTGTAGGGACACAGGTAACAGAGCAGAACGAAAGCTTCCAAATAGTAAGGAAGAACAAATCACACCTATTTTTTAAAAGAATACATTTTCATCATGTGAGCTAGCAAGGGAGATGCTAGGGAGGCTTAGGACGCTCAAATTATGGTATGTTAAATATGACTTTAAAGAATCTGAATATATTTTACAAGGTATTGTTTTATAATATCTTCTAGACGTCCTTAAGTACTAGGGAAGTGACTTCAATTTGTGTGCCTTTGTAGAAATAAAATTTCTTTTTCCAGGGTGTCTGAAACGCTCTACAAATGGCTGTGGATAGTAGGGGTTCAACTTCCAGCATGTGCACTGAAGTGGGGGTCAGTGCAGTGAAATGGGGTCTAACACCTTGTGTGCTGAAATAAGTGCACTGTTCGCTTACGAAGGGCCTGTCGGCCGAGTCTACTCATCTTCCCTTAAAGTGGATCAAAGTTCACCCATCAGTGGCACTTCCAGGAGCTTTGCTTCACGCAGGAATGCATGCTTTCCCCTGGGGCCTGCTGGAATGCTTTCTGTAAATTTATTCCAGCCAAGGATCATTGACCATCTGCCTGTCCTCCTCTGCCTGCTGCTGTCACGCAGACATCAGCGAATCCATATATTGAACAATTCCAACTTCCGCCTGGTGAAGACAAGGGTGGGCTGCTGGGAACACGCCCACCAGGCTGCCCTATGCTAAGTCAGAGAGGAGGTGGGCTGGTTTGCATGGCAGAACAGGGTGAGCAGGTGCAATGAGTGTAGGCACTCCGTAATCAGGGTTGGGCGCTCTGTGCCAGATTTTCTCTGCTGTTGTCACTTTCTCCTTTGATACTTAAATCCCAACACAAACAAATCCATCAACATTTCTATTTTGCGCAGGGTCCCAGCGGTAATGGATGTCAGAGTAAAGCTCCAATAAAGTGGCAGCGGAGCTAATTGTTATCTTTCTTACGTGCTGGGCAACACACATCTCCTAATCCTTCTGGGACGGAGGCAGAGAATGATTCAATATAAATAAGATTCTCTGTTTATGTTACATTGTGGCAACTGGCCAATTTCCTCATAATGCTTACAGAACCTTTAATTATTGTTAGGTTTGCTAATGAGTTAAGGACTAACTTCCTGAATGCAGGAGGTTTCTGTGCAAGTCAAAGGGCCAGTGGAAAGGGGAGGTCCCCAGGAGTGTAATGTGGAAAGCTCCTAGGGGCCTCTGGAGATCTCCAACTCATCCTAAGAAATGGGTTGCAGGTTAGTCCTAGCACAAAAATGCATGTATCTTTAGCTGTGTGTATCTGAAGAAACTTCCGAAGGGGCTGTAGAGGTTTATAACAACATCCACATACTACCCCTTAACATCCACTAGGCATGCCCAAGTAGCCTCAGGAAGAGGAATCAACAAAATTATATTAAAATATAAATAAGGGCCAGGCAGTGGTGGTGCACGCTTTTAATCCCAGCACTCGGGAGGCAGAGGCAGGCGGATCTCTGTGAGTTTAAGGCCAGCCTGGTCTACAAGAGCTAGTTCCGGGATAGACTCCAAAGCTACAGAGAAACACAGTCTTGAAAAAAAACCCAAATATATATTAAAATAGAAAATTATACTTTAGAAAGAAAAGATTTGATATTATAGTGTCTTCTTCCAAATTTTCATCTGACCCAGAATAAAGTCTCTGTCTCTGTGCGCGTATGTGTGCGCGCATGCGTGAGCGTGTGTGTGTGTGTGTGTGTGTGTGTGTGTGTGTGTGTGTGTGTGTAAAATCTCCCCATGGCTCTGGATTCCTTATAAACTTAGAGAATTTCTTTGTAGGCAATTAAAGGAATTTTTTTTTCAACTCAGAACCAGCACTCACTTCTCATCATCTTGCTTAAAAAGTGCTAATTATTGAGTCAGCAACTATTAATCTGCCTTTATTAAGATGACATCACTCCTTATTAACCAATGATAGGCTCGCTGTCTGGGAAGCAGGACTGAGTTCCAGATTAAAGAGATTCTGCAAGCTGTGAATTCTCAGTTACTGGTGGCCAAACTTTGGCTGTCTGGCTTTGTCCTTCACTAATAATCAGTCTTGGCCACATCCATGACAGGAGAAAATCTGGTCATTGAGGCTCAAGATGTAGAGAGGTAGCCACCTATGGATACTAGGGGCTTAAACCATGAAGTACAAATGTAACTTACATAACAGTCCAGTATATGCATAAATCCATGCAAAACCTCTGTGAAACACTTTGGAGGTAAAACACCGAGAGGCAGAGCTGTCTTTGGTGTGAGATGGACTTTAGCCTTGGCACAAACCTGTGCCGCAGTGACCCTCATGAGTCAAGGCCTTTGACTGGAAAACCATTTAACTTGTCCACGGCTTTTGCAGCTGTCGAAACCTGCTCGCCTTTGGACATTCCTCTCTTTCATACCATCGGTAGCCACTTGTTCTGGGCCACTGTACATATATGCACGGGGAGCTTTAGAGAGGTAATTTTCACATCTCTTCTGTAGCCTGTCAGGGAGTCTCTGGAGGTCTTTAGGCAGAACCAATAGAGAGGGGACACAGGCCCAGTTCCCTGGTTTGACAAAAGCAGAATTAACACACAGGGAGCCTCCTTACCACTTTCGGGCTTTGTGAGTCTTCAATCCCATGTGCTGTTCACTGTATTATTTTCATTATTAAAGAGAATTATGAGCTAATTATTAAGTCAGACTGAGTTAGAATCAAAACTAATCTTGTGGTTAATGCTATGGAGATTTCCTTGATAGAGATCATGAGAGTTTATCTTCTCTTTGCAATGTTCTAGTAGAACAGTTCACTGCTCTCCTGTGACTTCGTGTTTGGTCGGGGGTGAGGGGTCTGGTGCCCTCCCTGCCTGAAATTTAGAAGTCAGTTATCTTAATGGAGAAGGTGATTTTCTAACTACAAGTGGCTCACAAGGCCATGAATGTCGGCCACTGGGGGCGAGTGTGAGCCGGAAGGATGATTGTAACGTCTGCTACGTCTGCTACACTGGAGAATCCCAGACAGCACAGGTGTGAGTCAGAGTAAACGGTTTTTAATATGTTAGTGTTTGGGGGTGGTTCTGGATATAGGATGGATGAAAACTTTAGACCCTCTTAGAAAAAGATGGTTGTATCAAGCCCCCCCCCCCATATCTCCAGTGAGTTCTGTATCTTTTAAATAAACAGAGTCCATGCGAAGGTCTTCTATTGACGATCTTTCCCAAGCTCTGTCACTAACTCCTTTTGACTGAGGCTTGGGTCGCTTAGGTCAACAGTGAAAAAGCCGGACCTTGATTCCAGCCAGTTTAGGACTCCACCATTAGATTGGGCTGCCATCAGATTGGACATATCCCCACAGTGGCTTTTACTCCACTGGAGCCCAGAATGTAAGCTGGTTTGTGAACAGCCTGGAGGTACCCCTGCTGCTTACAAATGTCACGCCTTTGTACAAGTCCGCTCTCCAAACTGAGCAGTGAGGACCCACATCTGGGGCACATCTGGCAATGAATATCTTCTCTGGCTGATGATGAAGGCCATGGCCTAAAATATGACCATTTCCTCTCTTGTTTAGAATATAGTTTCTCCAGTGTGTGTGTGTGTGAGAGAGAGAGAGAGAGAGAGGGGGGGGGGAGAAAGAGAGAGAGAGAGAGAGAGAGAGAGAGAGAGAGAATGTATGTGTGTGTTTGGCAGAGGGAATCTGGGTTGTACTTTATACCCACCCATTCATTCCATTCCATTTTTGAGGCTACAAAATAGTGGTCCTTAGCTTGAATGTAGTCCAAAGATAGGTTTTGTTTGTAAGGAATCCATAGAAGCTCATATTTTATGTGAAACAGATAAAATACATTTTAAACACATTGCTAATATTTGGAGATAAGAAATCCATGACAAAGTTTGTATTTCTTACTTCACCTTGAAAATCTTGATTCTCAAATTCTCACCAGGGCATCATCTGCTAGAGCCAAGCAGGGACTGGACACTCTGGTTAAGTAGAGTCACCAGGACCCCTGCCAGTCACTTTGAATCCTTCCTTCCCTTCCTTCCTTCCCTCCCTTCCTTCCTTCCTTCCTTTCTTCCCTCCCTCCTTCCTTCCTTCCCTTCCTCCCTTCCTTCCTTCCCTCCCTCCTTCCTTCCTTCCTTCCCTTTCTTTCTGTTGTTTGAGACAGGGTATCTCTGGCTGTCTTGGAACTTATTCTGTAGACCACTCTGGCCCTGAACTCACAGGGATCCACCTGCTTCTGCCTCCCGAGTTCTGGGATTAACGGCCTGTGCCACCACACCCATCTTCACCTCAGGCTCTTTTTAATGCCATTAAACCGCCTGTGTGACTTGGAGACCGTTGAATCTGGAACTTCATCCAGGCTTGCTTAACCTCTTCACCACCTGCCTTTATTCTTTATTTAAGCATTCCATTTTTTTCCACAAAGAACTTGAAGTAGATATTAGCAACCAAATAATAGAATACAAACAGATAAAGAAAATCTGCTTCAGAAAATGCTGATTGGATTGGAGGTCTGGACCATGTTGGGGGAGGGGAGGAGAACAGAGAAATTCAGATCATTCATTCTAAACAGTTAATATACTTAAGCGATAATTCAGCTCTGAGCTTTATTTAATAGACATTCAATTACCATGGAAGGGAAAAATAGGAGTCTCTTAGAAGGAACAGAGTTTTCTTAAGCCTCAACCCTAAGAGAACATTCCTAGCTGTTTCTACACAGACCGAGTTTGCTAACAAGGAACACAAAAATCTGGTGAAGGAAGCTAGTTGCAGAAGATGGAGAAGTTCTTCCTTTCCAAGTAATGTAACTGAGACAATCAAGTTAGTGCAGACTTATTATTATTATTTTACCTCTCTGATACTGGTAATACCACCAGGCGATGTCTAGGAAAAAGTAAGAAAACATTTTACCAAATCCATTCATTTAAAAGGCATAACAAAATTTTATTGTCATCGGACAGGCACTCTGAGGAAGTTCTGGTCACCATCCAGCTTGACCTACACAAGGGGCCTCTCTCATCAGCAGAGCAGAGCCTGGATTTCCCATCCCTTTCCCACAGTGAGAACAGGCACGAGCATTGGGTCACCTCCCAGTGCCCACACTACCAGCAGGGCTCATCCAGCATGCTCTGAGCCATGCAGTCATGCAGCCTGAAGAGAGATGGGATGGCACGTGGCAGAGGATGCACAGATGTGGATGACTTCTTGGAAGTACGCACAGGTTTGGTTGAAGAGTGGCTTTTAAGACACTCTCCACCACGAGAAGGCCCCATTACCCCTCTTTTCTTTGTGATTAAGCTATGGGTCTTGTAGGGTGATCGATTTCTTCGACAACTATTGGTGAAGTATCTATCATCACACAGCGATGGATTACAGTTCTGTTTCCTACACTCATAGACCTTACAAGCTACACAACTCGGCTTCTCTCCTTTCTTGAGTGTGACAAGTAACTCAGATGAGAAAAGAAAAATATTATTGACATTAAGAATTAGCGTATTGGGGTATGTGACAGAGTGGATGCAGGTTAAGTCTTTGACTGTGCCATGCATGAAACACTGGAGGAAAATCCCCCATGGCGGGTGAGCTGGGGGAGTCTAGCTCCCTCCTGCTGGCTTTTTCAGATCTGTGTACTGGTCAGTCTTGCTTTGCTCTGCGGGCTCCCATTTGAACTGTCTCCTGTCTTGCTAGCACCATTGACCAAAGGTGTGTCAGACAGTCCAGTCCTCATCCCCAGTGTGTTTTAGTTCTCCCACCCCCACGAGCCCAGACCTGAGTGGTTTCTGTCCATGTTGTTCCCAAGAGTGGTAGTACAGAGAGCTGGGTTTCCACCACCTCCTCATCTGTGTCTGTGGAAGAAGTTCATTTTTACTGGATGTATTCGACCCTTTCATCACTTTGGTTAGTGGCATTTGAGTGTGTGTGTGTTTGTGTGTATATGTGCTTGTGTAAACGTGTGTGTGTGTGTGTGTTTGTGTATATATGTGCTTGTGTAAACGTCATGACACGTATGCGAAAGTCAGAGAACAACTTGTGCAGTTGTTTTTTTTTTTTTTTTCTTCCACCATGTGAATCCCAGAGACCAAACTCAGGTTGTCAAGTTTGATGATAAGTAGCTTTATCCCTTGAGCCATCTCACCAGTTCTAAAGGGCTGTATTTAAATTTTTAATTCTTCAGTTCTGGCCTACAACCTGCTGGCAGAAGGCTCCTGCTCTACCAGAGGCTATACCCCAGGTAAGACACCATCCACCACCTGCCAAACCCCTTAAGCCCCACCCATCAGTGCCCAACAGCACTCCCTTCCATGGGCTTCATATTCTGGCCCTCAACCCCTGGAAGAGGATTCTCACCATATAGGAGGTCATGCTAGGAACCCCAGAGCCTGCCCAGCAGTTCCCAACAGTATCTCCTCCCATGGGCTCCATATCCAAGCCCACAACTTGGCAGACAACTCCTTCTCTATTGGAGGCCACACGGGTATTAGGAGCCCCAGGAGCCCCAAGTAACTGGAACTCCAGAGACCACACCAGTATCCAGAAACCAGAGGCCACACCAGTTCCCAGAATTGTAGAACCCCAGAAACAAAGCAAGCACCCCAAATCTCAGAGGCCAAGCAGGTCACCAAAACTCTGGAAGAGACATACTACTGGGCCAGAAGACTTGCTGGTCACAGGGCACTCAGGTCAGAAGACAAGAGAGAAAACAGGAAGCAAGAGGGACTCAACTCCCCAATAAAAAAGACACCTGCTAACAGAATGGATGTAAAATCAGGATCCATCCTTCTGTTGCATATGAGAAACACACATCAACATCAAACCCAGATATTATTTCAGAGTAAAAGATTGGAAAAAGATTTTCCAAGCAAATGGACTCAAGAAGCAAGTTTGTATAATGACGCTACTATTTAACAAAATAGTCTTCAAACTGAAATTAATCAAAAGAGAGGGGAAGGACACTTCATACTCATCAAGGGAAAAATTCATCAACATGGCATTTAAATTCTTAACATTTATGCTTCAAACACAGGGCACCCATATTTGCAAAGGAAATATTTCTAAAGCTTAAATCACACATTGATCCTCACACATCTGTAGTAATGAGGAGCAGGCTGCATCCTGCCGCCCAGCTTGCTTACACCCTAAATAATTACACAGAAACTGTATTCATTTAAACACTACCTGGCCCATTATATCTAGCCTCTTCTTTGCTAACTCTCACATCTTGCTTTAACCGATATCTAGTAATCTGTGTAGTACCATGAAGACAGTTGTGGCTTACCAGGAAAGATTCGGCATGTCTGACTCTGGCGACTTCATGGCAGCTCTCTCTGTATGTCACCTTTTTTCTCCCAGAATTTTGTTCTGTCTATTCCACCCACCTAAGGGCTGCCCTATCAAAAGGCCAAGGTACTCTCTTTATTTAACCAATGAAAGAAACACATAGACAGAAGACCCTCCTACACCAGATGTGGGCTTCCCCTCTGTATGCTATGAATATGTTGTATTACCATTGGTTAATAAATAAGCTGCTTTGGCCTATGGCAGGGCAGAATGTAGCCAGACTGGAAGAGATATATAGAGAGAGGAGGCAGAGTTAATGAGACATCATTTATCTGTCAAAGCAGAAGAACATCAGAACTTTACCAGTAGGCCACAGTCTCATGATTTTAATTAATTAGTTAATTAATCATACATTGATTAATATAAATGGGTTAATTTTAGATGTAAGAGCTAGTTATAAATACACCTAAGCTGTTGGCTGAACAGTATTGTAATTAATATAGTTTCTGAGGATTATTCAGATCTGGGAAGCTGGGAAATGACCAAGCAGCCTTCTTTTACACTTTCTTCTCAACACCTCATGGAACATTCTTCAAAACTGACCACATACTTGGTCACAAAGCAAGTCTCAGCAGACACAAGAAAATTGAAACAACTCCCTGCATCTGATCAGAACACCATGGATTAAAGTTGTATTTCAACAATAGAAACAATGGAAAGCCTACAAACTCATGGAAACTGAACAACTCTTTACTGAATGACTATTGTGTCAAGTTAGAAATAAAGACTTCCTAGAATTCAATGAAAATGAATGAGCAACATACCCTAACTTATGAGACACAATGAGAGCAGTGCTAAGAGGAAAGTTCATAGCACAAAGTGCCTGCAAAAAGAGCTAGGGGAGATCTCATACTAGTGATGTAACAGCACACCAGAAAGCTCTAGAACAAAAAGAATCAGACACACCCAAGAGAAGTACATGACAGGAAATAATCAAACTGAGGGCTGAAATTAATAAAATAGAAACAAAGAGAACAATACAAAGAATCAATCAAAGAGTTGGTTCTTTGAGAAAATCAACAAGATAGATAAAACTTTATCCAAACTAAATAAAAACACAGAAAGAGTATACAAATTAACAAAATCAAGAGTTTTTGAGAAGGGGGACAAAACAACAGACACCAAGGAAATCCAAAAATTTAAACTGGAATTGGAAAATTTAAAAGAAATGGACAATTTTCTTGATAGATACCACTTACCAAAGTTAAATCAAGATCATATAAACAATTTAAACTTATCTATAACCCCTAAGAAAATAGAACTAGTCATTGAAAGTCTCCTGACCAAAACAAGTTCAGATCCAGACTGTTTTAGTGCAGAATTCTACCAGACTTTCAAAGAAGAGCTAACAAACATTCCTCAAATTATTCCAAAAATAGAAATCAAAGGAACATTACCAAATTCATTTTATGAGGCCAGAGTCACCCTGATACCCAAACCACACAAAGACTCAACAAAGAAAAAAATCACAAACCAATATCCCTCATGAACATAGATGTAAAAATATTCAAAAAATACTTTCAAACCAAATCCAAGAACGTATCAGAAAGATTATCCACTACGATCAAGTAGGCTTCATTCCAGAGATGCAGGGATGGTTAAACATATGAAAATCTGTCAATGTAACCCACCATATAAACAAACTGAAAGAAAAAACCCACATGATCATCTCATTAGATGTTGAAAAGCCTTTGACAAAATTTAACACCCCGTCATGATAAAAGTCCTGGAGCGATCAGGGATAAAAGGGGAATACCTAAGCAAAATAAGGGCAACATACAGCAAATTGATAGCACAAGAAACAACTCCTGAACAGAAGACCAATATGGCATACACTATGACCTCCTGAAACTGAAAACCTTCTGCAAGGCAAAGAACTCTGTCAACAGGACAAAACAGCAATCTACAGAATGGGAAAAGATATTCACCAACCCCACATGTGACAGAGGGCTAATTTCCAAAATATATAAAGAACTCAAGAAATTACACATAACAAACAAATAATCTAATTAAAAATGGGGTACAAATCTAAATAAAGAATTTTCAACAGAAGACTCTCAATTCACTGAGAAACACTTAAATAAATATTCAACATCTTTAGCCATCAGGGAAGTACAAATCAAAATTACTCTGAGATTCTATTTTATACTTGTCAGAATGGCCAAAATCAAAAACACAAGTTTTTGCTAGAGAGGATTTGGAACAGGGGCAACACTCCTCCATTGCTGGTGGGAGTACAAACTTGTACAGCCACTTTGGAAATAAATATGGCACTTTCTCAGAAAACTGGGAATCAATCTATCATAAGACTCAGCTATACCAATCTTAGGCATGTACCCAAAGGATGCTCAATCATATCACAAGGACACTTGCTCAGCTTCATTCATAACAGCTTTATTTGTAGTATCCAGAACCTGGAAACCACCTAAATATCCCTCAACCAATGAATGGGTTAAGAAAATGTGATATATTTACACAATGGAGTATCTCTCAGCTGTTAAAAACAATGACATTATGAAATTTGCAGGCAAATAGATGGAACTACT